TTTTTTTTTTTTTCCCCAGAATTCTAAGAAAAAAAGTCAAAATTCTTGCTATTTCCTTCTTTTTTTGTAAAGCAGTAAATTTCAAAATTCATGGATAACAACAATAATTGTAATGCACATTTTACCCCTCTGTCTTATGGAAAGGATCTATAGCAGGGGTCCCCAATCCCAGTCCACAAGGGCGGGTGTCCCTGCAGGTTTTAGATCTCACCCTGGTTCAACACACCTGAATCACACGATTAATTCATTACCAGGCCTCTGGAGAACTTCAAGACATGTTGAGAAGGTAATCTATCCATTTAAATCAGCTGTGATGGATCAAGGACACATCTGCAGGGACACCGGCCCTCATGGACTGGGATTGGGGACCCCTGATCTATAGTTTCTCATACGGTCCCAGCTGCAAATCAAGGGTGATGCACAACCTAAGATTGTCTGCTCAGAGAGCTTCAGTGACTTTACAAGGCAATATGATGAAGTTTTTAGAACATGGTTGCTTTCATCTTTATTAGATAAGACAGATAAGAAAGAAAACGAAATAGTTCTCTTCATAAAAGGAGAGAAGTAAACACCAAATAATAACCATGTATGTGATCTGTATTGCTTGGAATTGGAATAAGTACAAATCTGTTAGGTATTTGTACATAAATTGCTATGGGTGGATTGATTTAATAGCTCAGCAATGTCTTGGGTCCACCAGACCCACCAACATTATCTGAGGAACAAACATTTGAACACTACAAAAGGTTTAATGGAGCAAAGCATGTGGATGACTGTCGGGGGACTGAATGCTGCTGCAGATGGTGCAAATAATAAAATAATAATAAATCTACCTGATTTTTCTTGTTACCCTAATTACACTAATTTCTTTCATTTAGATTTCATAACTGAGTCTCTATGCCACCGACTGAAACGTTTCTGTGTCCCACGTCTTTTTTTTTACTCTGAAATAACTTGAAAATTGTTCAATACGATGAAAATCTAACGAAACGTAATAATCCGCCTCTGGTGTCTTTTTTTTTAGGTTCCTATTTTTTTTTAAAGTGCTAAAATAATAACTTTTATTTAATGATCGAGTTCTGTTGAATTTTTGTTTAATAAAAATTAATAAACAAAAAAAACATTCGCTTGCTGATACTTACGGATGTGACGTAGTCAGACCGATGGGTCAAAGTTCAGCTAAACCTTGCGGACTTCCTTTCCTGTTAGCGGTGGCCGTAGAACAGCATCAGTGAGTGCGATTTCCCTTCAAACAATCTTCATCCATCGCTCCAAATGCGCCTAATTTTATTATTTTTTTCATGATACATAGACGGCACCGACTCTGTTAGTTCAGATGTGGCCGTTAGTTTGTAGATTTTGTTTGCTAAAGAAAGAAAATTAGCAGATTTATCGCAGCGCTTCGTCCCCAGCTGTGCTCTTTTCAACATGGCAGCTTCCTTGATGTGTAGCTGCTCAGAGTCCCATTGAACCACTTGTGAAATAAGACTGTTTATGTGTGTAGGCATCTTATTGAGCTGTATTAGTTTTGCTATAAGTAAAGGGGCTTATGCGGTGCACTTAATGTGTCTGAGCAAAATAATTAATATGAAAACAGCTTGAAAGTTGTTAGCCTAGCTGAAAGCTAATGCTAATGTAGCATAAACGAGAGGCCGACTTGGAGACGTGTTGGCGGATTGACGGGTTTGATTTGATATTGAGACTGAGTTCAAATGTGCCCTCTCTTTCTGGCAGAAATGGGCAAGTTCATGAAGCCTGGGAAGGTGGTGATGGTCCTAGCTGGACGCTACGCTGGGCGCAAAGCTGTCATCGTCAAGGTAAGACCGAAGAGCTTCTGGGAGTTTTTTTTGTAAGGCGGTTAAAAGAGTTTGCTGATTGTATGGCACATGTGCCTGAATATGTACACACCAAGCTCTTACCAGAGTTGTCCATCTGAAAGCCAAATTGCCATTTGTCTGCATGTTGAATTTCCAAGAATACAGTTTTCAGGCCATGTGATGAGGGATAGAAAATAAGTCCTATTACAGTCCGTGTATTCAGTGTTTCCCATGTGTTTCAGTAAGACAGCCTACAAACGTTTTGTTATAACTACAGTTGGGCTTTGTGCTCAGAGCTCATCACTTCATGTATTTATATTGGATGTAAAACTAGAAAGTGGTGAGTAAATATCTCTGTGGAGCCTACAGGTGGATGCTGGGGAGCATGTTACCTGTTGAGCACAGCTCAAGCTCCTTGCTTAAACGAACTTTGCTTTAGTAGTGTTTGGAACTGTACACACCGGTGTGTGCTGTGTGAAAGGAGGCATCTCTTTTTCAGAAGATATTCTAAGACGGTCAAGTTGGCAGAAGTCCATAGTTAAGGTGGCTGAATGATAACTGGAATGCTACGACATACCTGACCAGCTGGAAGGGAAAACATGAGATGGGAAGAAACTGAGTTTACATAATTTCCTTTGGGATTAAAAAAGTATAGAGACTCTGATAACAATACCAGATGGTGTCATTCCCTCAGGTGGAAAGAAAAATAAAAGGCTGGGTAACTCACC